CAGATTCATTTTTATCTGAAAAGTAAATGATACACAGCATCTTAATTTACAGCCCATTTTAATGGTTTTATGTTGTAACATTTAACCTTTGGTAAACTTTACATTGCTTATTGGGATACTGTTGGTTTAAAAAGGTAGGGGGATTGAGGTAACATTTTCTTTTTTCTTTAGTAGACAGAATTTGAAATGGGCATTCTTAATTGACATAGAACATAGGAATTTATTTTACTACTATCTTATTGGCATAGATTTGTTTGAGTCTTATTTTGGCAGCTGTCTTTGTTGTTTTTGTTTGACTCACCAAGTTCTTTTATCATATAATAAAGATAAGTACCTATAAGGTAATGCTCAAGTATACATATTGGAGCCTTGAATTTAACATTATATTCAACATTGGCATCCAAAGTAGTGGATTACAGGAAACACGAGTAAGATCTTAGTACCATACGGTGTCACACATGAACTCCAAGTGTAGGTAACCACAAAATGGTTGTCTGTTTTTTTCTCCCGTGTGTTGGTAGTATGCTGGTGGAAATAGTTTGCATCAAAGTGAGTGAGAATAGACATTTTAGAAATAGTCTTTAAAGACAGTTAGTTTCCTTTGTGACCTAAAATAATCATATTGTTGACATCGTCTTTGTCAAGTTCTAGTTTTATAGAAAGTACCAACCTTTTAAATTTATTAATATAGTTATAAATTCTTTTTTATGTAATTTTGATGAGATGCAGCCAGAGGATAGCAAACTTCCTAATTATATGTATAATATTATTTTATTTCTAGGGTTTACAGATTGGTACTCGAGAATTGGAAGAGATGGGAGCAAAATTTTGTGTTGGTCTACTGCGTTTGAAAAGACTGACATCCCCATTGGAATATAATCTGCCTTCCAGCCTGCTTGACTTTGAAAATGACTTAATTGAATCAAGCTGCAAAGTAACTAGGTAGAGCGCACTTTTTAATTTTTTTATTATGTTGTACACTATTAGACTTTATTAAAATAGTTTAGCATAGGAAAAAGGCATGGAGATTTTGACAGCCGAGAACATGTTTAGAATTAATATAATTTAAGTTTACATATCTAATATTTGTTCCAAATTGTGATAATATTCTTGATTCTTTTAATGTTGATATTTGGGTGAGATTTTAGTGAAATACCTTTGTATTTTGAATGCTGTTTTAAGTGAGCCTAATGGTGTACATTTAACCCAAAAATAAGCAATGTGAGAAATATTGCACTTAGAGAATATCCAAATTATGAGAGTTTAGGGTCAGGATTGATATTTCAAAAGAAATTTTATTTTGTTGATGTCTACACACATCAGATGTTTGTCTAATAACCTTCTGGTAATATATATTAGAAACAGCTTATTTAGCATCCCTTTGAAAATTTAACTACATCTGCCAAATATTCTAAATAGGCAATCTTTTTTTCCTAGAATTCAATGTATATTAAATTTGATCAGTTATGGGCTCAGAGATAATTCAGTATTGTGATTCTTAATCATAATGCCAGACCTTTAGCATTTTATAGTTTGGTGTATATGGTTAAGCATAGTCCCATTTTATAGAACCTTCATGATTTTTTGCTATAAAATTTGTTAATTTATTACCATGTGCTGTTATATATATCAGTGTAGCAGTTTTAAGTGCAGTAAACATTAATTGTAACTCTATTCTCTGTATGTAAATGTGATCATTTAGACACATGATCACCTGCACTCTCTACCCTTCAAAGTGTCTGCTAAATAATAATGAAAAGGAATATAAAGATTGTCAGTTCTCTCTGATATTTAGAAGTCTCATTTTAAGTTTTAAATATTCTTAACCTGTAGTCCACAGACATATTACAGTTGCTTTAGATATCCTGAAATATCATTTAAGCTTATTAATACTTCACAACTATGGTTATTATTAGTCTTATTCTTTTAAAAGGAGCATATATGTATTTTGAAGAGAACATATCTTAAAGAAATCACATATACTGCTATATCACAAATGATTTTAACATTTTTTTTTTCCTTTTTGTCTTTTTTACTGACCAGCAACGGGATCGCAACCCTCGGTGTTGCACCCGCTCCGCGCTCAGCCAGTGAGCGGGA